CTCCAGAGTTTGATAACAATGGGGGGAAATGATATTACTAATGTGATGACATTTACATTGGAAACTGATTGAAGAATGTGGAAAATTAAGAATGAGTTCTCCTCGAGAGTATTGGATAGTGCTATGAAAAACATATTTCACGACTACTGCATATCACCTAGTTTTCCACAGAGTTTTACGACGCCACTTCACGTAAAACGGGTTGTTGTTGTGAAACTCCATTATAGATTCCTAGATGATTTTCTTTGCTGTAGTTTTCTCCGAGTTAACTGAGTGATGGTTCGGTGCTAATGTTGTTATTTCTGAGAAATATTTGATATTTACGAGAATGTTAAAATTTGCTGTATATTTTCAGCGGGAAAATAATTTTCTGGGATATGTGGGAGAGAACCCAAATTGGGCCTCATCTGAATCTTTTCCGCTGGGCAAGAAGTGAATCTTTCTAAAAATCAGAACTACATGATATTGTTCGCGAATTATCTAATCTCAGTTTTCTCCATTGGCGGCTTCATACCGTAACTCGGGTGAAACGTAAAAATAAAATCGCAACGAAAAAAGCGTTTGCTGATCTCCGCAAGAAAAATGCCTTCAAATGTTGGCGAATGTGGCGAAGATATGTTAGAGAGGTAGGGGAAGATTTCAGAATTTTTTTCGGAAAAATTATGAAAAATTAATAAAAAATTATAGATTAATTATGAAAATTTATTTAATTATGAAAAAATTATGGAATGTGATAAATCAAAAAAACGGATTGAATTTTTTTTGGAGATATATTGGACTGGACCTGCGAGACGAAGAAAGAAAATATAAAATATTAACGGAAAAAAACAAAATTTTTGGAATTATTTATAGAATGTGAGAAATAAAAATTGCAATAAAAATTTTTCGAATCGAAACTTCGAATCTTTTTTTCAATTTATTTCTGATTATTATTCGAAAAAAAAAGTTTTTCCCTGAGTGTATTAGGGAAAAAATGTAAATTTTCCCGGAAAAAAATTTTTCCCCTCTTTTTTTCGGGAGGACTGTTTCAGATGCTCAGCCTGTGGACAGCTAGGCGTCTATTGGGTTTACAGAGAAGTTGCTTAATTTTGTGGCGCGTGACGGTGATGGCAAGTCGAAAACTAAAGGAGATAGAAAGACGAATAGTGAGTTTGAAATTTTGATGGAAATTATTACCGCGCGCCCGGAAATTCAAAGTGTATTTTTTGGCAGGTTTTGAGAGTATTAATATCGTGGCGCGCGGTCAAACCGGTGAGGGACGATATTGGAGTTCACTATGAAGGCTTGATGGTGAGTTAAAAGGGATATTTAGTGTTCTTATGGAGTTGCTTGATATCTAACAGTGGAGTTTCGCCCCGCCGTTTTACGTTTTTAATAGCGGTTTTCATATCACTGGTGAAACTCCAGTGTTGGAATATGAATGGAGTCTCATAACAACCCGTTTTACGTGAAGTTGCGTAGTAAAACTAGGCGATATTCGCGGCCTGTAGTAGTCGTAAGATATGTTTTCCATATCACTAGGGTGGCCGTGAAACTCCAATATATGTTCGCTTTCTTCAGCTGAGCTTAGGTGTTTCTAGAGTAACTACACGAACTAGGGGAAAATGTACAGAAACCAACAAGAATTTCCCAAAATTTTTGTCAATTTTTTTCATTTTGTCGCCAACACATTTAGTTGACCATGTGTATATTTTCTCATACTGATACTGGCAAAAAAACTCTTTTTTTTCGTGATTTTCGGCAGGGATTTTTTTTGTATTTTTTACTATCGTAATTCTACTTTGAATTTCATCGGCACTTTTGCTGCCAAATTTTATGCAACTCTACCGTGTATTATTATCTTTTTCTTTGCAGGCGGTTACTCTAAGCCGACGTGAGCGAATTGAAACGCTGAGGCTTTCCTTCTCATTGTGGCGCTCAACGAGTCGTCATCATCATCGGCGAGAATTGACGGCGAGAAGATCTACTGAAATTGCAAGGTGGGGAAAATTTTACGAGAATTTTCATAAAATAATTTCATATGTTTGTTTGGTTTTATCATATTATATATTATTAATTTATTATTTCGTTAATTGATTTCTCAAATTATGTTCTGGGATCAATAATCGATCGACTGGGCGCGCGCGGTTGTCGGTGATGTAGGTATCTGGCAGTGCAAACGGCCTTTGTACAGTGGCGGCGATGCTTGGTGATGGCAGGAGATAGACGGGTCGGAGTTGTGATGGCAAGTGACGCATTGAAGAGGCTTTTGTATGGGAGAATTGGATATGCACGTGAGGGGAGCAAATCGATCGCGTGATCGATTTGGTATGGCAGTCGCGGGCTTGAGGGCTGTAGTTGTACGCGAGATAGTTGCTGAGAAAGTGGATAAAGTGAGTCGGCTTTAGCGGAGCGAAGCGTTTAATGATGTCGAATTTTCATAATTTTCATAATGTCATGTATTCTGTAGCATATTAGTTTGATAGTTGCTGTTATTTTTGATGAAAAAATCGGCAAATGGTCAGAAATGACGAGATCGTTTTGGCATTACAGAATGAAGGGTGGATACCAACCAATGGTTTACAATCGATTAAGATGGCGAGCGCGATATACATTCCGTGATCAGGCGATCTTGTTGGGAGTAGTCGAGCCAAAATTGGATTGTCGATTGCTGTTTTTTATATGGCGGAGCGAAGCATTGCAGAAGGCTGAGATGGTGGGGATGATGAGAAAATCTTCGCTGTGCGTAAAGATATGCCTCGGCTGTGGCAGGTGCGGAGGCGGCAGGTCGGCGCACTGAGGGGGAAGGTCTTCGGAGAATCTTTGAGGAGAATATTGATTTTGTGGAGGTGGGTGAAGAGTGTTGGAATATATGTTTGGTTTCCTCACCTGAGCTCGTTAGTTTCGTCACTACGTTGTGAAAATTCGCAGACGATTTGGGTAGAAGTGTACGAAAACTGACGAGAATTTCGAGTGGGAAAATATGCACATGATCATCTACATGTGTTGGTGGTAAAATGAAAAAATCTGAGGGGATTTAGGAAAAATTCTTATTGGTTTCTGTACACTTCTACCCCAAGTCGTGTATGAAGTTCTATAATTAGCTTTGGAAACTCCTGAGCTCAGCTGGTGAGGAAAGCGAACATATATTCATACTCCAACACTGTATAGGAAACTCCTGAGCTCAGCTGATGAGGAAAGCGAACATATATTCATACTCCAACACTGTATAGGAAACTCCTGAGCTCAGCTGATGAGGAAAGCGAACATATATTCATACTCCAACACTGTATAGGAAACTCCTGAGCTCAGCAGCTGAGGAAAGCGAACATATATCATACTCCAACACTGTATAGGAAACTCTGAGCTCAGCAGCTGAGGAAAGCGAACATATCGTGAGACGTATTTCCATATTTGATGCAAGTCAGATATGAAAGTCGCTATTCTCGAACGAGACGCTTCGTTGGAGAGTTAGCAGCAAAAAAGGTGAGTTTTGAGGGAAATGAGTATTGTCGGTTTTCAAACTGAATTTACTCTTCTCGTTGTTTCTGGGATGGAACACACTCTCCGCTGAGCTCGTCGTCCAACTCGCATCCCAACACCCACCACTGTTGAGCAAGTAAGCACGATCTGACCTTGATCAATGTTCAATTCGTTGGACTCGGTGGAAGAAAGAGCCGTGCACAAGATTCTTAGTCATTTTAGCGCACTTTTCTTAGGAAAAAATACACAACTGAAATGATTGAGATTCTCAGTGAATTTGGCGCGCATGAAAATATATTTCCCTTGTGGCAGTTCTCAATGCTTTTGAGAGAAACTACTTACACGTTGAGTAAAACGTTTGTTATTTTTGCGGTATGCGGATGTAGTGATGTGAAGTGAGTTAATTTGACAGGAAAATGTGAAAAATGTTACTTTTCGGGATTGATAAGAATCGATCTGAAGCTATATCGCATAAACGATGCATGTGATGTGATTAAAGTAACCTTTCGAGACTATGATAGCGACAAGTTGTTCACTATCATTAATCCCGGAATAGAAAACGCACATTTGCATATCATCAAATTGGCACGCACTATATGTTGTTCAATTTTAGCCCGGCGTGAAAACGCAGTTGTTGACTTTGACGTTTGGGAAGTGGCGGAGGAGATATCGAAATGCGTGCGAGGAACAAGAAGCATTGAATATACGTAAGAAAAGGAAGGTAGGTTTCGTGCTTCGCTCCGCTGGAAAATGTGATTTGTTTAGTATTTTTCATCGTGGTATGTTCATGTGAAGAAAACGAAGAGAGAGATGATGATTCAAAGATCTTTGGAAGCTGGTGTTTTGGAAAAGGTGAATTTCGTGGCGCGTGACGGAATTCATGCACTAGTGTTATTCACGGTTGAGAAAGGTAAAGAATATGTGTTTTCTATTCCGGGATTAATGATAGTGAACAACTTGTCGCTATCATAGTCTCGAAAGGTTAATTTTATCATATCACATCTTCATAGCAATTTTTACATCGTTTATTCACATCGATTATTATCATTATTAATCTCGGAAAATATCGCGCATTTTCATATCAAACTAACATGCACTGTATTGGTAGGTGGTAATTTCGTGGCGCGCGAAAATTCATCGAACGAAGAGGACCCGCAACTACGCGGCTGTGCTGGGGAGAATAGTCGGCAAGTTCACGCAGAAGGTGAGGGTGTCTTAGCTTGGTATCAACGAATCGATGGTGCGAACGATTAAATCAGCGTATTTTGGGTGAAAAATCCCGAAATCGGAATTTATTCCCCATTGCAAGGTATATCTTTGTCGAGGGCTGGAGAGCCTTATAGAGCATACACGGCGTATGAGACGGCGGGCGAATCTGAGGCAGACCTTCCGGGAGATGACGATTTGCTCGGACCGACGGGTGGGGTATAAGTTGCTTAGTCGTTGCTGATGGCCGATAAAACGAGTTGTGGAAATCTATAGGATGAGTAGAAGCAATAGCTGAATGCAAGGAAAGTTGTTGTGAAAATATGCACATGGCGAAATTGATACTTTTCATATTGTCATCAACACATGCAGTCGACTCCAGTGGAGTCACTCCACTACAGGTGTTGGTGATAATATGAAAATTCTGAGGAAATTTTTTGGGGGAATTCTTATTGGTTTCTGTACACCCAAGTCGTGTGTAAACTCCTATAATTAGTGAAGGAACTCCTGAGCTCAGCTGAGGAAAGCGAACATAGATTCATACTCCAACACTGTATAGAAAACTCCTGAGCTCAGCTGCTGAGGAAAGCGATTACATATATTCATACTCCAACACTGTATAGGAAACTCCTGAACTCAGCTGAGGTAAGCGAACATATATTCATACTCCAACACTCGCGTTTGTCCGATCGAGAATTCACAGAAAAAACGATGTTGATGATGAATTCGCGTGCTGAAGGGTATGTACTGCCTGTAAGCGAGTCTACTATGTCAATGTGTTAATTTTTTTACGGTATTTTTCTGTACATGTGTTCGTTCTCGTTCGCACATTCTGTGTGCGCTATCTAGAGACTGAAAATACATGTGCGGAGAAACCTTTTTTACAGAACGAATTTGGAGCTAAAATTTCGAATGTGAAGCTCTCTGTTTTATTGCATGGAACCTGTTCGCAAAAATTTTTATCGTACTTTTCTGCACGCCGATTATTTCCGTCACTGGTAGATGCTTTGGAAGTCGTTTGGAAGTTGGCGGCAGATGGTCGTGAAAAAACGGCATGCGAAAATTGGCAGAAAATTTTGGGAAGAAAAAATATTGCGTGAATCGATGGAAATATGGCGGATAGAAATCGGGTAAACTCTGTCGAGATTTGGGATGGTATCAGCGATCACGACGATAGGAGGATTGTGCGGAAGCGCACGGCGAAGGATTTGATAGCCTCCAGGGAAGAAAGAAAATTGGAAACAACTCTACTGAGTATCTTGAACGAGTGGCTGGGCTGGGTGAGAGAGTGCAGGGGAAATTTGTGGTGATTTCTGGTCAGGTGCGCAGCGCGAAGATTTTTCGAAAGATATCTTTTGCGAAAGCTGAGATGCGGAATCGAAAATTAGTGGTTGAGATGATGAGGGAGTGGCGAGATGTAGGTTGATTTGTCGCGCGCCACGAAATTGTCTGAGATACGAAGCTCCTCTGCTAGATGTATTGGATACGTAAGAAGCTAATAGTTGATGCATTTAGGTAGCTGATCAGAGTGCAACTCTGCGACGACGCGCACAGCGAAGATTTCAAGATGATCATGGGAGAAGAATCTTGGTAGATCCAAATGGTTGATGATCATTAGGACAAATCCAATATATGGCGGAAATTGCAAAATTTCATATGATGGGAATTTGCTCTTCAGAAAGGCTGGTTTCGAGAGGCAGTGGTCGCGCGGCGAGATCGTCTTTATAGCGTACTTTGTGATGAATATCTCCGCAGAGAGAAGAAAATGAAAATGAGGTGGGATGAGGCTTTTTTTTTCGGTATGAAAATGTGCATAGCTGGACGTTACGGAGCATTATGGTATGAGCTGTACCTCAGTGTGGAAAAATATGCGCATAAATAACTGCATGTGTAGGTGACAATGTTTTTATTGGTTTCTGAATACTTCTACCCTAATTCGTATATAAACTTCTATAATGAGCGAGGAAACTCCTGAGCTCAGCATATATTCCTCTAACACTGGTTTTGCTAAGTAGCTGATGCGAAACAAGTTGTGAATTTATTCATGTTGAAAGTGAACATATATTCCTACACTGTTCTGGTTGACGTGGGATTATCTGTAAATTTACTCATTAGCTTATCTGAATCATCAAGAAGACTTGTTCCGAGTGGGACGGCTGTCGAAAATCTCAATGATCAGTTGTATGTTTAGGAGAATCTTTGGGAGTTG